TTATATGGCAACATAAGAAAGCTAGGATAAAATGGAAAGTGCTCCAAGACAGGAAAGAGAGAGGAGGTATGAGTGTTCCCAATTGGTACATATACTACCAAGCGGCCGCCTTAGTGTGGATAAAGGACTGGATAAGCCTTGAAAACACGAGACTTTTATCGTTAGAAGGACACGATCTTCATATGGGATGGCACGCTTATGTATGGTATGGGAAAGATAAAATCCACTCAAATTTTGTTAGACATACATTAAGAGGATCTTTAAATAAAATATGGACTAAGATAAAAGAGACTTGGTATAAGAAAACCCCAAGATGGGTAGCCCCATTAGAAGCTTTTATTAAACCATCAGTAGTAACAATGAATTTAAAGGAAAGCTATCAAACATTATTAAACAAAAACAATGAGCTAAAAACAGAAGAAAAATTAAGACAAGAAAACAACTTGTCATGGTGGGAGTAGATAACATTACGAGATAGATACAAGAAAGATATGATAAGAGGTTTTGAGGACCAAAATAATGAATTAGACAAAATATGGCTGTCCTCAAATGACAAACTAATCCAGAAGTTGTATAAGTTCTTACTAATGGACTTTGAACAGGACGTAGAAATTAAATCTGTAATGATCACGTGGATGAGGGATATAGGAGAAATAGGGGAAGAGAAATGGGCAAATATGTGGAAAATGGTCAAATCTATGAGAGCGATAGCATACAAAGAAAATGTGTTTAAAATGTTTCACAGATGGCACTGGGCGCCCGATAAACTAGCGAAATGTTACAAGGGATATTCAAATCTGTGTTGGAAATGCAAAATGAATAAAGGGACTTTCTATCATATGTGGTGGGAATGTAATAAAATACAAGGGTTCTGGAGAATGGTGAGAGGAATACTTCTAGAAAGCTTGGGTAAAAACGTAACATTAAAACCGGAGTATATTTATTAAACATGATCCCGAAAGGATACAACAATCAGGACTCGTATATAATTAGCTATGTTATAACAGCTGCAAGAATATTAATAGCGCGACAATGGAAGGCAGAAGGATTACCTACAAGGGAAGATCTGATAAATAAAATATTAGAACTAGCCAGATTAGATGATCTAAGTTTAAAGATGCAGAATAAAACTGAAACGGTACATAAAAGGAGATGGGAAAAATATATAAATGGATAGAAGAACAGACAGAAGTTTAATATTTCCAATTTGTATATGAAACAATAAGAAATGAATGACTCTGATATGTATGCAAACGAAACTGATGAAATGTATGTGAACATAAAGTTTTAAAAATAAAAAAATTTAACCCCCCCCCCAAAAAAAGAGGGAATTAGATAAGTATATGGAGCAGAGGTCTATCAGTGTTGGACTGGATGGGCCATTGGCCTGATCCAACACTGGCTTCTCTTATGTTCTCTCTTATGTTCTCATTTATGTATACGTGGCAAGCACAGGCTATAGACGGTGGAAACTAGATGACAGGGCTCTATACTTACCAGTTGAATCCAGTTCCTTGATTGAAGGCCTGATGGAAGAGCTCCATCTTGCAGGTCCTGCAGAACTGTAAAAGGTCCTGCAGGGCCCGGATCTCTTCTGGGAGCTCATTCCACCAGTATGGAGCCACCACCAAGAAGGCCCTGGTCCTGGCTATGGACAGTCTGGTGTCCTTGGGACCCGGGAGGGCCAGTCAATTTTGGGACCCTGAATGCAGTGCTCTCTGGAGAACATATGGAGAAAGGCAATCCCTCAGGTATGTAGGCCCATGACTATAAAGGGCTTTAAAAGTGAGAACCAGCACCTTGAAGCAAATTCGGTATGCTATCAGCAGTCAGTGCAACGCCTTCAGCACAGGCTGGATGTGCTCCTACATAGGGAGACCCATCAAAAGCCTGGCTGCAGCATTTTGCCCTAGCTGCAACTTCCAGATTTGAGACAAGGGCAGCCCCATGTAGAGAGCATTACAGTAGTCCAATCTCGAGGTGACCATCGCATGGATCACGGTTGCCAAGTCGTTGCGGTCGAGGAAGGGAACCAGCTGCCTAATCAGCCAAAAGTGGTAAAAGGCTGACTTGGCAGTGGCTGCTCCCTGGGCCTCCATTGTTAAGGAGGCATCCAAGAGAATTCCCAAGCTCCTAACCTCCAAAGCTGGCACCAATGGAGCCCCATTGAAGGTTGGGATGGGATCCCTGCCCTCAGGCCGCCCCAGCTCAGGCACAGGACCTCTGTCTTCATTGGATTCAATTTCAGTCGGCTCAGTCTAAGCCATCCAGCCATGGCTTGTAACTCCTGGTACAGATTTGGTTTAGAGTCAGACTGGTCACCCAACAAAAGATAGAGTTGGGTGTCATCTGCATATTGGTGATATCCCAGCCCATGCCTCTGGGCAATCTGGGCAACGGGGCACATATAGATGCTAAATAGCATTGGGGAAAGCACCGCCCCTTGAGGCACTCCACAGTTTAGTGAGTGCCTTCAGGATAGCTGTTCCCCTAGTGCCACCCTTTGTCCCTGACCTTGGAGAAAGGAGGCGAGCCATTGCAAGGACTCCAGTGTTGGCGAAGCGGTGAATCAGTAACTGATGGTCAACCGTGTCGAACGCTGCTGACAGGTCCAACAACAACAGCACTGCTGATCTGCCCCAATCCAGATGCCTCTGGAGGTCGTCCATGAGGGCGACCAGTGCCATCTCCATCCCGTGGCTGGACTGGAAGGGAAGCAAGTACAGAATTGCTGCACAACTGGGTTGGTAAACTCAGTAGTTGCACTTCTAGTTTCCTGTGAAGTAAGTCCCTATGGGGGAGGGCGGGGTATAAATTAGAATAATAAATAAATAAATAAATAAATTTTATATTAAAAAAGATACATTCATAGTATTGCCAGATGGTGGTCTGGCATCCCTGGAAGCTTCAAGGGCAGGGCAAGAGATGGAAATGAGATTAGACTATATGCCTCCATCACATCTAGGCAAAAACCCAGACGTGATGTCAGCAAATCAACCAACACTAGAAACTATGGTATTAGATAGCATGTCTAAAGCGCTCTCTGATGTCACATCCAAGTTTTTGCCCAGATGTGACATCAGCATGTAGCCCAATGCTATTTCTACCCCTACCATCCTGAGAGGTTTCTCCTATCATCCTGAGAGGCAAGACTGATGGGCGGATCCTTCACTGAGATACTGCCAGCCCAAAGCTGCCAGTTGGCATGCAATTCCAAATGAAAATTAAAGATCCCCTAAACTGATCAACATTTTTAACCAGCCTTGAACCAAGAGAAAGGGCAGGATATAAATGTTTTAATAAATAAATTTAATAAAAAGCCAATCAATTTGTTTGTTTAATTCAGAGGTCCTGAATACAGCATTCCAGTCTTTACATGGGGAAAAAATAACGACTCTTACCTTTTCTCTAGCAAAAACACTACGTCAAGCTCCTCCTTGTCCTACATATAAATAAATACTAGTTAAAGACAGTTTACGAATATATGAACAAGACTATGAAACAGGTCAGGATGTAAATGATATTATGTTGTTTAAAGTACAGCGTTAATTCCCATGTAATTGTTCTTAAATTAGGCTGTTGCTTGAGGAATTAAGCTGGGGGAAGCCATGTTAACCAGTTTTTCATGTGAGATTTTCCTAGTAGAAAAAGTGCATGTCTTTCTCAAATGCAAAAAAGACAACATAAACATAAGCGTTAATGCTGAAATCCAAAGATTTTGTAAAAATCTGTCTGCCATCTTTGTTTTGCAAATCACTTTGATGAATAAGAAATATGCAAGCCAGGCAGGGGTCTTTCGGGGCTGGAGCTCTGCTTCGAGAGCCCAGGGGCTGGAACAGATGGCAGTAGAAGCAAGCCCTGCCCCCAGCACTCTGCGCTGCGGCCCCCCCGCCACCTCCCCAGGCCAGCACCGGAGCGCTGCGGCCTGTGGGAGGGCAGAAGAGGCCCTCCCACCGACTCCCAGAGCCAGTGCCAGAGCGCTGCGGCCTATAGGAGGGCAAAAGAGGCCCCCCGCCACCTACCAGAGCCAGCGCCGGAGTGCTGTGGCCCGTGGGAGGGCAGAAAAGGCCCCCCTGCTGCCTCCCAGGGCCCGCACTGGAGCGCTGTGGCCCATGGGAGGGCAGAAGAGGCCCTCCCACCGCCTCCCGGGGTAAGTGAGGGATCCGTGGGGGGGTGGAGGCTTGATTGGGGGAGTGGGAGAGCCTCCCCCTCCCCCATCTCTTTTCCCTCTTTCTTCCCCTCCTTTCCTTCCCCTTTCCTTTTCTTTCCCTCCTTTTCTTTCTCTTCCCTCCTTCTTTCCTTCTCTTTCTTTTCCTCTTTCCTTCCTTCTTTCCTTCTCTTTCTTTCACTCTTTCATTCCTTCGTTCCTTCTCTCTACTCTCTCTTTCCTTCCCTCTTTCCTCCTTCTGCGGCCCAACTCTAGTGAGAAGGGGTTTAAACTTTAAACCCCTTCTCTCTTTGCTTCCCCCCCACACTGGCCGGGGAAGGGAAGGGGAGGCTTTTGAAGATGCCCCCCACTTTTGCTTTCCTTTCTGACATCACTTCCGGTGATGTCAGGGGGTGTTGCATATGTCAATGAGCTATTATGCTAATAGCCTAGTAGCTCATTAGCATACCATATGCTAATGAGCTCCTGCAGCTATTTTTCTATGAAAAGACCCCTGAAGCCAGGTAATTAGTCACCATGATAGATTAGGAGTAGACTTTCAGCTCACAAATCCCCCACCCATTCAGCATGGAGAGAGGGTAAAGTAGGAGTTCCCATGTTTATTTGAGCATAGGATCTCTGAGTATCCAGGCAGATTCTACAATGAATTTTTATTTTATTATTAATTTATATCCTGCCTTTCTCCTGATTGGGTATCCAAAGTGGCTTTCATTATTCTCCTCTCCTCCATTTTATCCTCACAGCAACCTTGGGAAATAGGTTAGGCTGAGAGAGTGCAACTGACCCAAGGTAACCCAGCAAACTTCCAAGGCAGATTGGGGATTATAACTTGGATTTCCCAGATCCTAGTCCAACAGTCTAGCCACAATACCACTCTTGCTCTGTTAACTACAGGATCTGCATTAGTTATTCTCCCTGCAATGAGATTATTGGGGAAGAAGAAAATGAATTAAAGCCCCTAATGTTTATCCATGGACAGTTGGGGAGGGGAGGGAGAGACCACTTGAACTGGTCCTGTATTAATTTGGACCAAGAAATAAAATAATTATAGAATAAACTACCTCTCAAAGTCAAATACATTCAGGAGCCATTACACCCTCACTTTCCTATCAGTTGATAAATCTGGACTGGTGTGTATTGGTCATATTTTCTAATGAAAAGCACAACTGATCTCAGCCATCATGTAGATATGCAGGAGAAAAACTGGTTTAAAGAAACCTTCTAGCCAGTGAACCTAACTTATTTAATGAACTAAAGAATTAAGACTCACTTCTTTTAGTTTGAAAGTGTTTTTCACAGGACGGCCTGGCTTAATTCCCGTCACATCAAAGACAACAGAAGTAAGTTCATCGCTAACAAGAACATCTTCATCAAAGAGTGTCAACTCAAGAGTGTTCTGAAATGAAAGGACAGAGAGGACGGCTGAAACAAAGTCCTAATAAAGAAGACGGCAGGAAAATAACGGATATATTAAATGCCAAGAAGAGTCTTCAATCATTTTTAAATACAGTTAAAGGTTCATTATTTTCAAATTGCTGATGCACTGCACTCACATTTTTATAATATTCCCATTTAGAAAAATGTCCTGTACAGATTCACAAACGTCTATGGAAGCCCTTAACTTAAAATCATGGCAGACTAGGAGTTCCAAGTGCCTGCTTTGCTGAGGTAGGTGAGAGCCTACTAAATACTTATTTATAAACTTGATTATATTCTATTTTCCTCCCAAGATCTTTTGTCCTTGGAAAACTGAGCTACTTCTGTGTCAAGAAAAATTTCTCCTCACCTTGACAGAACTGTTAATTCTATACCGGAAAGTTTCATTCCACTCAGGGTCACTGGAGTTGTCAATAACCTGAGTTCGGTAAGTAACTGGCGATGCAGTTGGCAGATGCAACTCCACATAACAATCTGCCTTGGAAACTAAAGGCGAAAAGGTAGAAATGTGGCCATCAGAATATTTTCTTATATCACCTCATTACTTTCTCCACATCCAACAATCTTCTAGGATGAAGAGAAGATGCCTTTCAAAATAGACCTCCTTTAACAGCAACCATTAGTAATTATTATTTCACAAAGCGAGAACATTCTTCAAATTTGCTCCAAAGAAAATTAATTAGGATTTTTAAGCCGTTGCCTTAAAGAAATCCTTACAAATTATTCTACTGGTATAAAACTCAGCACGTTTTATATTCTGCACACAAAAAAATGATCACACAATGTTCATGCAGCTGTTCTTATTCTGTATTCATTCTCTCAGCCCTGCATGCTTAATTCTGAGTCTAAAAGCATTATGGATTCATGCAGGATGGACAGGTAGAAAAAGAAGCAAGACAATGATAAACTGGGGTTGGGGAGAAAGACCTCCATGACAAGCAGTGTTTAGTTTCCAGTTCTAAATACTGGAAATTATGCACTGGTTGAACCACTAAAGATGCAAAAAAAAAATCACTCTTCCTCACTACACGGTCAAATAAACCCAAACAAGTTTGAATGCAAAAATGGATATACATTTCATGTTGTATCAAGGATGCTGACTGGGTCATTTGACCTATGTCACATGAAATCAGCAGATTATTCTAGGGCTTCTCATAAATGAGTCGTATCAAAGCTAAAAAAAATAAAAAGTGGCCCTAATAAACATGGCATTCATTTGAAATGTTCCTCTCTTGCTTCTTTGGCTTTTTTGTAATGGATTTACTTTTACAGTTAGCTTGTCTTGATATGAGTCCAATCTTTAGAGACACTCTGCCTACAAGCACAAGAGGCAGACACTAGATATAGAGGTTTGTTTTACAGATACTTTTATGATGCCCAATGGCTGCTTCTGTGGTCTTGGCTTGTTATTAATGGATTGTTTTGTTTCTGTATTGATAACTGACAATGTTTTATTACTCTGTTGTATTGTTTTACTTGCAGGATTCTGGAAAGGCAGTATATAAATTCCCTAAATGATTCTGGAAAGGCAGTATATAAATTCCCTAAATGAACAAGGAGATAACAAGGAAAGGCTGTTTTTTCAATTGCACTTATAAATTTGTTTTCATACAAATACCCAGAATGTCATGGGACTAAAAACACTGTCTTAATAATAGTACCAAGACCACATAAAGTACACAGCACTGAGCTACAGAAGAAACTAACCGTCCACGGGCACTTACATAGATCTGTTCCTTTAATGTTTCTGGCCCGAAGGATTTTGACTGTAAGGTTGTAGTAAGGGTGCTTCTCACGCTGAAAAGATAATCATGCCAAACATTAAACTTTGGCAAAGTGTAAATTTGAAAAAAACCAAAAAGAGTACTATAATTAGTTCTGCCCATTAACTGTCCACTTTTATTAAACATTAGTCATTAAATTAAAAACACAATTTTACAAAAAAATCTAATATTTTTGTAATAGCCTCATCTCCTGGCCATATGGAACACATTTTTATAGGCATTGGGAAAGTGCTTCTTTCTGGATCTCATTCGTTTTACTTGCTTTACTGAGTAAGGCGTCTTTCCAAGTGCCTTAAAAATCCACTTGCATTGTCCGATATGTGGTGTTTTTTTCTTGTGTTCAGATAACTTTGTAAACATCCTACGGCTGTCTCATATCTTCCCCGTTTTTTTTCGTGTTCCTAATAAAACAGGCTTTTCCCACATTCTTTTTCCAAAGTGAAATATATTCACAACAAAGCCTCTGCTCGTAATCTGAACAAAGTCTTTTGCACTGGTGACTTCCAGAGCAACCCACCTGCCCAGAAAGAGGTGGTTGGGTTTGGCTGTTGTTGTTGTTTTTTTTAATTTGAATCCCAATGGAGAAATGTTTCAATGATGAAAGGTACCTGCATTAAAACAAGCAATCATTCACATTGGGGGCACCTTCCTTTGTGTGTGTGTGTGTGTGTGTGTGTGTGTGTACGCGCGCACGCATGTGTCTAATCTCTTCTTTCTGCCTCTCTTTCTCTTCCTCTGCAGCCTGAGAAAGCTGGGATCATGTCCTCCTTTTGCTTTACACTCTCATGTTAGATCCACCAGATTGTCTCTTGACCCTCACTGGGGAAAACCCTTTTGTTGCCAATGCGCTAAGAGCTCTAAGGTTCTTTGACTTGTATGGCTAGCCAATAAACCATACAGTGAAAACAATCATCCAGGCAGTAAAGGGTAACAAAAGTATTTATTCGAATAAAGGAGCACCTTACAGCTTAAATTCAGTGTGGGTATTCAACGAGCAAATTCAGAAAGCAGACTTGTATACTCTTCTTGCTCCTCAGGGCCGGCCCTATCACTAGGCCTGCTAGTATCTCGCCTAGGGCGGAGATACTAGCAGGGCGCCAATTCCCCTGCCACCCCCCCAAAAGCCCCCCAGCCAAGGCCCAGCTGCAGAAGCCGCCCCTGCAAGCCCTGAAACAACTTGCAGGGTGCAGCACCACCAGCACCACCCGCAGCAGCAGCTGCCCGACTGCCGCCCCTTTGCCGCCTCCGCCCGTCTGCGGGACCCTTCCAAGCCGAGGGCCGGTGGGGCTGAGGAGCGCCTGGAGTCCCACAGCCACGGCCAGGCCGGTGGAGACGCAGCCGTGGCGGCCAGGGCGGGCGGCGGCTCCTTTCAGCACCCCTTCTTCACCGCCCCCTTGGCAGGCTTTCCCCTCGCCACCCTCGCGGCCGCCTTCGCCGCCCCTTGAGCCCCCCCGACGTGCTCCCGGTCCCGCTCGGGCTTCTTCAGGCTCCTCGCCATGAACGCCGCCACCAACGCCACCACGGTGGTCACCGCGCACTTCCAGCCGCCACCACTTCTGCCAGCCCCGCTGCATCTCCACCACGGGCGGAGCCTGTCCGAGCTCGGAGCCCGCAGCCAGGGCAGAGGGAGCCCTGCCAGACACGGTCACCTGCGAGCCCTGCCGGGAGCCTGGCCGCCCGCACCAGGTAATGAGGCCCGCGCGGGGCTGGGTGTTGTGTTGTGTGTGTTTATGCGTGCGGGGGGGTGAACAGACTTGAAGTGTGTGTGTTGGGGGGAATCCAAGGGAGGGGGCGACGCTGTGTGGGAAGGGACGCAACTGGAAAGCAAATAGGGTGTTTGGAGCAGGGTTGGGGGCCGCACCCGGAGCCTCCGGAGGGGAAATCTGCTTGACAGTCCCGGCTGTGTTTTGTTTTACAGGCTGAGCAAAAAGGAGGGCTGGAAGTGAGGCGTGGAAGAAGGAGGAGAGGATTGAGGAAGCTCTTCACCGTCTCTTGTTTACTTGGAAGTTCAGGGGGGCCCTCCCCCCGAGTTCAACGGGAGTCGGCTCTCTTCTTTCGGGGAGAGTGGAACGGGAGGGGCCTTCCTCGTGGATGGCCGCATGTGCGGGATCACCCGGGAGAGCCCCAAAATGGATGCTGTGGTGGATGGGGGGGCTGGGAGGAGGCCTCGGGTCCTCCAGCCAGCCAGCCCTCCTCCTCCCGAAATAGGTCTGTGGGGAGGGAGAGGGAAGCAGACGTGGATCCGGAATAAGGTGGCGGCGGTGGGGCGGGGGTCTGAATGCCCGCTGCCCGGCCCTGGCCTGGGGGGTGCTCAGTAGAGTGGGGCAACCCGGGAGGATCCAGCACCCGGCGGGGGAGAGACTCTCTCCCGGACCTTTAGCCACCCCCTTCGTGGGCCAAAATGTCCCCCAGGGATGAGCACCGAGCGAGCCACGCAGCAGCACCACGCAAAAAAAAAAGAAGGTTCCATCCACAGTTCACCGTTTTTCAGCCTCCGGCTCACACATGTTGGTCTCTGCTCAGGAAGGATGTGGCTCCAGAGCAAACTGATTTATGCAGGAGCCCAATCCCGCGCTCACAACAATGCCAGGAGGCAGGAGCGCACACAAAGCAGGATTTTTGCTCACAAGACTCCATAGCTGAGAGGACGGCATTGGTTCCGCCCCGCCCCACTGAAAACAAAGGGCCGAGTCGGCCGCCCCAAAAGTGCTGCTCTGCTCACCCTCTGCTGCACCCCCCCCCCCCCCC